TTATGAACTTGATCCTTGAAGAATCAAGATTGCTTGTGAAATTCCATTTCCGAACTAAGCATGACGTCGGTGATTGCGAACTGTGAAAGAAAATGAGATTGCAACACGCTAGAACGTAGGAGAAATTGTTCAAATGATTTCTGATTTATATAGCTGGAAATGAGTCTGGGTACTCACAAGGGTTTCCAGATCGAATCCAAAACTCGAAGCAATCATTCGTTTTTTTGCTACCAATTTTTTTCTGCAAGCCCTTGACCTGGGTAACTTCTTGCTCATCAATTGACGTTTAAGGCCACATTATTCAGCATTAATGATAAAATAATTGCCTAGCAGTTACAACTTGTTTTATAGGGTAGTCAGATTTGAGAAATTTTCGCTGGATATATTAAATTTGAAATATTCAACAGAACTTCAGACAACCTCCAAATTCAGAAAGTACAGTATGTGCTTGTGACAGGTAAATTTTCCGCCAGCCCTTCAATTGGGCCGGTGCACTTGCGATCCTCTTAATTCGAAAGTGGGTGAGCAACATATTGGAATACTGGTCATGACATGAACAAATATTACCGAAATGAAAAAAATGGTTTCCATCTCCTTTACGCCACAAGAGATACTCACGACTTATGAATCAAGCTTACATGCTTAATCCACTTGGAGATATTTCTTCTGGGGAAGAGCTTGAACTGTAGCTATACAGACGGCGGGTAGCAGAAATTCAAATTGATCGCGTTCTCAAGTTTCAATTTTAGAAAAATTAGGCATCCTTTTGTCATATAGGCAGTGATTTACGCCTGCGAATCCCGCATTCCGCTGCTCTATTGTCTTGAAGTAATATGCCTGTGGGTCGAATCAACCAAGTTCCGAGTAGAGTACTTGCCTTTGTCTCACCCCCGATGGTCAGGTTTCTCCGACCAGGAGACCTCAGCAGGCAGGAAGCTTTAAAACCCGTGGGAACTTCACTATTCCTAAATTACATCCGCTCGGGCGATGAGTATCTTGGATACTGTGGATCCAGGGCGCCTGTAGGTTGGGGTGTAACAAGGAGTCCAGAATCCCGTGTGCTGGCGGCAGAAATGATCCGTCCGATGCACCGTCGCGATAACGCGGTTGCGAGTAATTGAAAAAGGCTTCCCTCGTCGGAACGCGAGCGGAATTGTTGACGATGTTGACCGGAGAACACGCTTTGTGGCTCACACGGTGACGCACAATCGGATGACTACACGTTTCGACTTCTAACCAGATCTTCATTCTCTGTTCGACTTTATAGTGGCCTTTTTTTTCTTTCGCGGATTCAAACCTGAACTTGGAAAAAAGATGAACGTCGTTGATCGAATCGCCGAATTTTCTCGTTCGCTCTACGTCAACTTAATGGGCCTTACCTCGTTATTGCATGGCTTTCCTTTCGAAATTCGTCCAAATTTTCGGTCAGCATGAATGTCCTGAAAAAGGAAAGGTTTTTCAACCAGTGATACTTATCATTGGCGATAAAGGGGTCATTCACTCAATGATTGACAAAATCCACAAAATCAATGGATATTTTTGCGATTTATTTATTTACATGCAATTCGGAACTTATTTCCGACGGAAGGCGGAAAAATTAATGAGAATGGGAGTGATTATTTTGTTAACTGAACGAACACCATTTTTTTTTTTTTTTTGGCACGCAGGAAAATGAAGTTAATATTTTCTAAATATGCATGGTAGACCCAAAAATAAAATTGCATACCTAAGACTAACGCAGTAAAGATTGAAATTTGAATACTGTTGGTACAGGGATTTCGGTTCAATTGTATCATCAATTGTTTTCTGAGCAACTGGATCTTGCGTTTGTGTGTATGAAACAACCATGGTGAAAACTAAAGAGTAATCGTGAATGCCGCATTTATCAAAATATTAGACCAGCGTAATTCGCAAGTCTCTGAAATTCAAGGTGCGTCGGATTTTTTATGGAATCTTAGATTTGCAAGGCAAGTGAGATCTTCTGGCCGTCAAAAACTCTTGATGAAAGAGAAAGTGTCGCATGTTATTAAGCAAAGCCTCACTTCAATGTTAATTACTTCCAGATGGAAAAAGTTTGGAGTAGCAATAGCATCACGAACGAAGCAAAAATACGATTATTGGACGACGTGATTTCCGTAGAACAACTACCGTTAATTGAATATCGTGTCGAAATCTTTCTTAAAATAGTACTGTAATTGACCAACTTTGCGCATTGATGGTCAAAGACTTCCGGAAAGATGTCGAGTAACATATATCAAGAAGAGGAAAACTTTATATCACGGATGCTGTGACTTAATATGAACACATCTTCTATTCAAAAAGAAAGTGATGAAAGAGCATCCTATATTTGCGTGTAATATTTTTTTAAACTTCTGATGGGGACAAAAGCAAAGGTGTGTCTTAAACTCGCTTCTGTCGCATATTATAAAATTTGTATCTCTGACTGCTGGATCAATATAAGAAAAGATTCATGCCGTGCTCTGAGGTAACAATCAGGGTTTTCGTTTTCCTTCATAACCGTATTTATTGCATCGTCACACGAGAGCTTGGGCCAGATCGCAACTGTGATCAACAATTTAAAGAAAATTTGTCGCTGGAATATTGAAAATGTTATACGAAAAAGGTGGTCGATACGCGCATGAAAAATTGCATTGAATTTGGCCTGCAAGCTGCCGCCGACATTCAGATGGTATTCAACCTGTTCGAAAATTCATGAAATACATGAATACCTAATCAACCAAAGACTGAGCCAGAAATGCCAGGTAGGAAATCCGGGGTGTGTTTTTTTTTATGTCAGGGTTTCCATCTGCCTTTCTCTCCTGACGATATCTTTCCTTCGACGTGGTTTCGAATATAGGCCGCACCTTCTATGGCGATACTGTCTTCGGACATCTCGATTGAAGGACGCACCTGCATCGCATTTTTCAAAGCTTTTTGTCGGATAGATAAAGATGTGGCCTATAGACGAGAGAGAATGCGGCTACGGTATTACTGAAGCATTCTACGGCTATGAAATTCATGATTCCTTTTTTCGACGAACGTTTTTGGAAGAATGTTCGTCAAAAGAGGTCGACGCCTGTTGAGAGGAACGGCGTAGGTCTTCAAAATTCGGCCGAGCTGAATTTCTATGTCGACGGGTGAATACAATGCTGACGATGCATCGCGACCGTGACTCGATACGAATCGTGACAAGCCGAACTCCTCGCCGATGCTCCGGATTTTTTTTTTCGGAGACTAAAACTGCTGAAGGTTGGTTGGGAAAGCATAAGGGTAAATCCCCGTGTGTCATGCTTACGTGAAAACCCTGCGGGGTATGTGAGGGACGTTTGGATTCGCGCGGAATTGGCTGATTTCATTTTTTTTTTTGGTTCATGGCGGTCGCGAACAGCGGAATCCAACAGTGTTCTGTTGCGGTCACCTCGAGTCCGTGAAATTCGCGTCAGAGCTCCCACAGGTCGCTACATTTTTGGTCAGACCAAAAGCTATGCCGTTACGTACGCAGTCATTTCTTTGGTGAGAGACTTGCATAACCGAGTTCCCACGCGTATTACTTCTGAGCTTTTATATTTCACGAGTCGGTTCACCGAGAATGGTCACTTTGTTCCACCCTTCGAAAATTTTTGGATGATTTCCTTGCGTATTATGTGGGAACTTTCGAAGAATCGATCAATTCAAGGCCAGTTTTCATGAACGTTCAACCCACTGCGTTGTTCCTCATTCGTGACTCGTGCATTGATCAGATATACTTTTCTGAATCGTTCCTTCGGAATTTCAGTCCACTTTCGGAGATAAAATGAGGAGTAATTTAAACTTACATTCTGGTCATGGCGTAGAACGAGAGACTGACTCGCGTTTCTTCACAATTGCTTACGAATGATCTTAAATACTCGTGAGCCGTTTCTTTTTTATATTTCATGTCAACTCCGAATTGATTCATTTTATTCTGTAGAGAAATGAACCAGGAATGGGACTGGTTACGGAACCGATTGACGATTTTGCGAAACTCTCAGTGACTACGTGGGTGTGTTGCGACTTTCGACACGTCGCCCACTCTGCGCAAATTGGCTTCTTTGTCAGACTACAGTATGTAACCATGCCGAGTTCTAATGACGTGACGGGTACCAATATCTGGCTTCTTTTCTTGGCAAAAGAAGAGAAAATGAATCGATCAGATATTCATGAATTTTACAAGAATCGAATCGCTCGAACAACTCATTCAAGAATATAACGCCTCGACTTTGCCTTTGACTCGATCTGTGAAAACCCTCTTTCATAATTTGTTCAAGGTTTTTTTGTTGTATATAATTCACCAAGAACTCTGAATAATTAATTCTGCGCGATGCCCTTGTCTGATTGGAATTGCCAAGAATGACACGCGGCATATAATATTCATCTACTAAAATATTCGTCACAAGTGCAGTATTTATTAAAATTTTCGATTTAAATGAAATCAAGAACTGCCGATCCAAAAAGAGAAAACGTGAGATTTTCCTCGTGCACACATACAGTATTCTGTGGTGATCAGTTTCACGACGAATTTTCACGCTGGAGAAATGCATGCGATCAATAAAAGCTGCATTTTGTTACCTGCATACGCGATCACAAAGACGGAGACGGGAGGAAATGCGTATTTTTTCCACACCAGTTAGAAGTGTTATGATTGAATATTCTTTCATTCAAATGAGACGTTTCTGTGGAACAATTCAATAAAACAAGGGAAGTGATGAATCGCTCCGATTTAGGGAGCGTATGGAATTCGTTAGCGCTTCAAGCAGGTCAAAAGAATAACCCATGAAGGCCACACCTCACGAGTGCGTTGGTCAAGGAATCGAGTGGGTAGGTGTGTAGCTACCAACGTTTACCTACTCACCTTTATTACGAGGAAAAATTCCTGAAAACGCCTTTTTCCATTTTTCATAGCGCAGCATTTTTTGAAGGGCGTGCTTGAGTTTGGCTGAGTGTTCGGCTTTATGATAATGTTTTGAGAGCGAAAAATTTACATTTTTCCGTCGCTTCTGGAAGAGTTTCAGAGACGAGAACAGGAAACAAGAAGCGATATAGAGTGCGTGGGGAAGGAGCGAGATCGATCGTCGGTGCGATTGGCACCCGCGATGCCGAGTTGAGACGCGGTCGGGAAATCGGCGCAATATGCAGTGCGAACCTGGGCCCGAGTTCGAGTCTCCGTTACCTGCTGTAAGGACTGTTGAACGCGATGCTGCTAGCGGCGGCTGACGTGCCGCACCATGCCAGCCGCCCGGCCCTGGCCGACCCCAGGGCCCCGGTGCCCGTCAGGGTCTTCCAACCCCTGCCGCCGTTTCCGGCTCCTGTCGGCGACCACTTCGTTCCGGGCTACCCGCCACATGGTCACCTCATCCCTGCTCCAGCGCTGGTGAGTCCGAATTTCTCATTTGTCATTCCCTTCCTCCCCGTCATCGAATAATTGTTCTTGCACAACTTGCATGTGAAACTGCAGTGAGACCCCCAGATGCATATACGTAATTGGTGCATCAAGAGTGTCCTCAAGTCGAAATGAGCATAAGCCAAGTCTTGTTTTCCCAAAAACTTACATTATATAATTTTCAATTGGTGTTTTATGGAAGAGATATTCTTCAGAATTCCATGAAAAAAATTGTATGCCACTTGAATTTGATTCAGTGAATATATTTTCAACTCAATAAGAACATTTGGAGCATTGAATAGTGTACCCCTTAAATTGATTCAGTGAATATATTTTCAACTCAATAAGAACATATGGAGCATTGAATAGTGTACCCCTGTACAGTACATTGAAATGTTGGCATCTGCAAAAATAACATTCAAGTCACAAAGAGAGAAGGACGAAGTCCCTCTATGCAATCGGTTATTTTTTAAATTAGCTGAATGGATTGGAAAATGATGGGAGAAATGACAAAGAATTTTTTTGCATGAATCTTAGGGTTGGAAATATCTGTTTCTTGCAATCAAGCCTAATGAAAGTGAATTTTTGTGAAATTTATTGGCAATTTTATCATGCAATGTCCTCATGTCGAGTCAATGTCCGTATGTCGAGTCTATTCAATGCCCTTTTTATTGAAAAATAAATGTGTCTATGTAGAACTGTCCGCATGTCGAGGTGTCTGCATGTTGGGGTCTCACTATACATTTACCTGTGGGGGTTACAAAGAAGCCGTCGCGACTTGTAACACGCGTCATTGCGACTTCGTCAGTCGTTTTTCGAGGCTGGTTTGAAAAGCCCGGAAATGCTTCTTGAATTGAGAAGACGACTGTGGCGAGCAGGATTTTTAAAAACATTTTCCGTTCAGTATTTAACTTCTGTAGTTTGAGCCTGCTAGAATTAGCGTGCCACCTTTTGGACGCAAACTCTACGCATGATTTCATCGAGCAAGGGCTGAGCAGTTTCAATCTTACAAATTTCCACCCGATGTGCTCAATACCTCAGTTACGTTAAAGCGTTCAACCAAATAAATTATGTTTCAAACGCCGTTTCTCTAACTTGAGGTGCTTCTCACTGTTCCAAACGAGTCGCGTTTTCATTCCGTTCACATGAAACGAACTCTTATTCGACCTTTTTGGTACCATTTCTTCGAACACCTGCGTTAGAAAACTCTCGCGAACCACTCGACGAGTAGCCGATGGCTTCGAGGCACAAAAAACTATTTAAAAATAATATAAGAGTATCAATCGACAAAATTGTTCAAGAGAGGGTCAAATGAAAGCGTGTAGACCGTCAGAAGTGGGCTGCTGTGAAGGTTGGTTAGAGCTTGTGTTTTTGTTTTCCAAGTTATATTTGCTCTAATTGGTCCGAACCATGGTCCAATCATTGGTGAATTTTCTTGCCCCACCGATGATTTTCGGACGATGGAAAGGCCAAATGTGAATCAATAAAATTTCTCTCATCATTGAGATCTCTCTCTCTCAAGAAAAAAAAAAACTCGGAGCCATTTCTATGGTTTAAACGGCTTTTTCATGTATATTTTTGTTGGGAAGCCATTAACTGGGACCCGCGAAATGCATGCTCAGTTTGTATAAAAGGAATACTGTCGCACCGTGCCGCATTTTATAACAGATAAATCTTTGAAGAACTATCAAAACTCACCTCTATATAGGACACTGACCTCTTAATGATAATACGACTGTTTTCCTCTACCCATGGACTTGAAGGACCGTCCTGTGCAATTATTTTAATTCTCATCAGTTTTTCTCCGATTGTGACGGAAGGATACTAGAACTTTTCTTAGCTGGGTTTTTGCTGGGATTAACTCTAGGAGAGATAAATGGTAACAATCCTTTACCGTATCTTGACGCACTCATTTGTTGGGAATCTTGAGTATGCTCATTTGAAACCTATGCGATATTTATTTCGAATGGAGTGCGGTAAAAATCTCGTTGGCTTTTTGTTGACTGAAAAGTCAACATGTCAGTAAATGCGAAGATCCGAGCGTCGACTAAGAGTAGTACATTATTGTTTGCACCTCATTCTGAATCGTCGTTAAACTCGCTCCGGTTTCTATCTTAGATGTGAAGTGGTCATCAAATCGATGTTAGTCTTGCTGAATCATCGTCGAAAAGCCGGATTTCGCATGAAGCCGTGTTGAAAGCTGTTTCCAGCAGCTTCATGCGTTCAAACGACCGGGTTTCGCTGCATTGACTGAAATGCATTTGTCACGCTTGGTGGTATTTCGAGCATTGCTCGTACTTCCATCCTCGGGTCCGATGAGCAGAGGGTACGAAGACGTTGCATCAGGGCCTTGACGAGGCTAATCGGTGCAACTCCGAAGCACGAGTCCAATTGCCCTCAATCTCCGACCTACATGAACTGCACAGTACCGGGGTTTTATTTTTTTTTTGGGTGCAATTGAGGATGCGACCCGTGTCGTAAATTGCCTCCGCATCGAATCAAGCGTTCAGCCAAATTAGTTTCCGTGAAATTCAGGACATGGACTCGTCATTACTGAAGACGCGATCTTGATCGATTCTTTTTATTGATTAACTTTTCTAGGAACACTATTCCACTTTGAATTGATGCATCCCTCTCCATTTCTGATGGCAGATTCAAAATTATTCGGTTACATACATCCGGGGGGGGGGGGGCGGGTTTCTAAAATACGGTGGTAAATTCCTTGTTTATCCTGTGAATTTTAATTAATGGTTAGGGAATGCGTCAGAAAGTACAGACAGACGACTTCGAGTAGCACTATCTCCTGGATAGTTCATCTCAATAAAGAATAATTCAAATTGAACTTCAATCAGTTGTCTTTTGGATTATGTTCAATTTCCTGTTAAGTTACACAGGATTGAAATTACCTGCCCAGACATGTGGAAAAGTATTCATCATGAGAAAGCGCGTGTCACTTTTCCAGAGACAATTTTTTCCTTCAAATTTATTTCCTAGTGGCATCAATGCCATTTAAACTACAAACTCAAAATCCAAACATGATGCCTGCACCATGTCGTTGAATCAGGCATTTTTTCTGGGTGTATCAGTTCGAACCATCTTAAAGAAATAACAGTTGAAAATGCAATCTATCTTTTGGCTTACCACGAACGGTGAAAATGGAGCGGTGTTGATTTTCTATAGAGTGAGATTTTTCAAACCAAACTCGGACCCATTATTTTATACAAATGAGGTTTATGGGTCGATAAAGTTTTGTGAGCACCTCTTTCAAATGAATCACTAAACCTACGACAATATCTGGATGCTGAGTTTTTTTCTAAAAAAGAAAAAAATTCTGTTCCACACCCACTTTTTTCCTCGAATTAATGTTTCGGCAGATGATGAATACACGGCCAAAAACTTTTTTAGATTATATTTCTAACTTACACCGATTTTACCTGTGAACATCTTGACTAGTGTCTTCCAAACGTGCAATTACTACGTGGTACGCATTTAAATGCATAATGTGGATCATGCGATCACATGTTGTATGCCAATTTTGTGGATTGTTTTTCGTAATGATTTTTTAAAGTATAAATCAAATGCCTAAGGTCAGTTCATGATTTTCGTGCTCTCTAAAGCGCATAATTCATGCGCCGTTTCTTGAAATACATTCTATGTTCTTCAGGATACTCATTCCGACGGACCTACGTAAGTTCAGCTAACGAATTAGAGCAGGCAAAAACTTTCTCAAGTGGCTAAGGGGGTCACGTCTGTATTTGCGGGGTGAGTTCGTTAGCACAGTACGGCGTGACTCACAGAGCGATTCTGAGCTCGACAGTAATAAATCAGAATGCAGCTAAAGTGCGGGGATAAGTGAACCCGGGTGAAGTTATCGAATGCCCGTCGTCCTACTTCCCAGGGGCTAATGGGTCGGGGTAGGTTTTACAGACGTCGCTGGGAGTGGCAGATGTTCCTTACCTGTATGGTGCGGGTGTTCTCGAGAGGAGGGGGGGGGCGATTAATTGGCAGTCGGAACGATGCGGGCGGAAATGCGTTGTCATTCGTCCCGGTACTCGCTTTGTTCCTCGGCGGGAACTGTAACTGGAGCATGGAGCAGGTGGAAAGAGCTGCGGTATGTTCATGGCGGGATAATTTCCGACGAACGTTCAAGGGCTCACACTTTTCCGAAGGAAGGAAAGCCGCATGACAGGAAGTTGTACTGTACTTCTACCTGTACTGTCTGGCTTCGTGGACGAGGACGTTCGCCGCCGTTGCGGACCACCTTGGCGGAATGACTTCGTGCAGCATTTCACTGCCGAATGGAGTGCGCCATTGCGAATTTCCTGGATGTGAGGAAACGAGATTTCAGCCGCACTTCCAGAAGGTCAGAGAGCACTCGAAGCTTCATCATCATCGTGCTCAGAAAAGTTTGCGAAGGGTTTTGTCTCTTGCCAAGTCCACAGAGAAATACGAACTAGATTGACGGAAATAGGCTCCCAAGGAAAATCCCGGCGATTCGATCCAAATCTTCAGTTCAATAATGAGAAAACAACCAAGCCATGTAAATTAGTCGTGGAGTTGTTTCAAAAAGCCTTCCTTTCAACGAATGCAAAGACGACGGTTTTTAGTGAATGCTTAGCTGACGAATGTTTCAGAATTCGAAGATACTTACTGCACAGTACGTTTGGATCACCTGCTGTTCGCCATGGAAATGAATTGTTCTTCAAAATTTAGTGTTCGCATACCCTCTGAATATGGGGTTTTCCGAGAAATGAAGTTTAGTATGTTGTTTGGTCAGTAAGCAGCCATACGAAAATGTCCGAGAGAATAGGCGAAGAAACCTTAATTTACAGGTTACACACACAATAAAAACCTCGAGTATTGCCATCATTATAAAACCGCGCATTCAAGAATTATCAACTGTCTGAAATCGCCATATTTTTGCTGATAAGCGCTTCAGCACAGTTCATAAATTCATTTGAACTTTACAAAAGACATGATTCATCGAAAAAAATAACTATGTCAGTGAAACAGTACACAGATGTTTGAGAATATCCAACAGGTAATTTCAAGTGATGGCGATCTGTTCGGCAAGTGTAAATGAGAATTCCAATTCCCGCATTCATTTTTTCTTGTATTCCCGCAGCATTGCCTTCACGGCTTGGTTTCCATCGGCATTTTTTTTCCATCCCAACATTTTCTCATGGCGCTCCCGAGATAAATCCACAGCTTGTGTGGGAATAAGCTGACGAGGAGGTCGGTATAATGAAGTCAAAGGATAATTTCTAATGCATTTATGCCCGAAATAGCTATTTCGTTTTTTGAACGATCTTTTGATGGTAATTTCTGCTGGTTTTCCACTGTTGAAATGCCGTCGATTTCGTTGTGATCGCTGTCCAAAATCGGGCACTTTCCTTCCCACCTTGACTTCGCGTGTTCATGAAGTGGGGATTAGAATAAGACCTTCAGCTGGTCTAGAAATGTGCATGAATTAAGAACCTTGTTGAAAGAAAAAAACTTCAGAGACGCTGTAGTTCACTCACCGTTTTTCTCGTAAGCATGGAAAATCCTGACCGAAATTCATGTGAAGGTGGTTCGAGAATTTTTCGTCGCGCTTGAAAAATTGCTACGATTTCATTGTTCACTCCTTTTGAGAAGCGGGGGCGTGTAGCTGTCAGTTTGAAAGGCTTTCGGAGGTCATGCTCGGAGAAAGGACAATTTGTCATGTCCTGGGTTCAAGAAGAATTTGACGCCCAGGAATTCGCGTGCGATGTTTTGCTGTTGTCGAATTACCGAGTTCGCCGCGCGTGATGGGCATGCCGGTGCCCGGTAGTTTTCGTCGCGACGACCTCCAGAATTCCTTACGATCGACG